GTGCTGTGGACTGTGTATTTGTTTGCATAGTTGGATTTAAAATCGTGTGGGTGAATAAGTGTTGGCTGATGTCATTATTATGTCACATTTGGCTTGCAAGGGGTGGGATAGATAACAGTCTGACCTACTGGACAGATCCAGTTCCCCACTATGTCAACAGATGCAAAATGCGTGAAGTGTAATAATGTACTAAAATGTTGCAATGTTCAGTGAATTTGTTTGTGACTTCCTCTGTTATCATACAAAACTTACTCTTCAGAGGTTTTGACAAGCATTTGCTTCCAGAAATGGAACTCTCTGAGTGCTTGTATGAATTGATACAGTATTCAGTGTCCTACCTAATGCAGTTTGCACCACCCATTTGGTTGATTAGTTCTGCATTCTCTTGCAGTGCTTTCTGCATATCAGACAATATTTTCCAGATCTTTTCTGCAAATGTAAAAAAGAAAAAGAAGGCAGCTGTGTCAATCTACACAGGACACGTATTCCAGAGAATGATGTGTATTCTAATTATGTGTTCATCTGTTCATTGGATGTTGTGCCAAACTATAATATGGTTCCTCTTACAAACTTTTGATTTCAGAACCCTGAAGGCCATATTCTGGAGCTCTAAGTTGCAAGTGCATCAGTTACTCATGGAGTTCCCTTCATCAAGCCACCTTGAGCAGCATTTGGTAGAATGTGAGCTACAAATGTAACGAATAAAGTAATAATTTCATTGTAGTACTATCTTATTGCCCTGTTCCAGTGTGGCACACTGTGTATTGGATGGAGATGAGTTTGGCTAGTGAAGCGGCAGGAGTGCCTCGCCCTCCTGCTGCGACAAGCTCCTGTCCCCACTAATCTCCCAGAACCAGGAGAGGCATGAAGAGGGCAGAGGAGAAATTTGTGTCACATAGGCACAGTCTCAGATTGCTTAGGGAAAACCCTGGAGAGGAGGTGACTTTTGGCAGTTGGGGAGGGAAGGGGCTGGGACCTTCTGTCTCAGCAACTGCTTCATGGTGGTAAGACCTACTGGAGATTAGTTCCTGTGCTCATTAGGCCTGACACTGCTGTGAAAATCCTGTTCCCTCCTCCTAATAAAGCGTTTACTTGTCTTTACTGCTGGCTTGTTACAGTCATTCAGCCTTGTTTAACTATGTTTTTAAAAAGCCATTTTTTTGTCTAGAAATAACACTTAAATAAGCTGCCTGATAATGAGTCAGCCTGTTGATCCATCTAGTTCATTGTTTTCTGTGCTGACTGGCAGCAGCTCTCTAGGATTTCAGGCAGGAGTCCTTTCCAGCCCTACCTGGAGACGTTGGGGATCTTCTGCATGTGAAGCAGCTGCTTTGTCATGAAGCCACAACTCTTCTGCATAACACCACCTCCTTGTCCTCCTTCCTCAGGCTACAGAGAAACACAAGCTTGATGTAAAGCATTTTGCATGTGATTCATAAACAGCAGATACCGTAGTTTTCCGAGTATAAGACTAGGTTTTTTCCAATAGAAAAGAATGTTCAAAATTGGGGGTTGTCTTATACACGGATAATGCAGAGGGGGCACAGGAGATTGCTGCGGCAAGGGCTGTTGTTGATTGGCTGCCACTGCGGCAATTGTGTGGGTGATTGGTGGCGAGTGGGCAGACGATTGATGTCTTCGGCAATGCGTGAGATTGGCAGTGGCGTTCTGGCGGGTGAGCGATTTTCGGCACACCACCCCCCCAAATCTCAACAACTTTGGGCAATTCAACCCCCCCCCCAAAAGCTCAACATCTCTGGGCAATCCTCCCCCCAAAAAAGCTTCAAAAAAAAGCTTAACAACTCTGAGCAATCTCCCCCATTTTCTGAATTTGGAGTCCCCAAAAATAGGGGTCGTCTTATACATGGGGGCGTGTTATACATGGAAAAATATGGTAATTCTGGGAAGATAGTTGAACTGGTGACTTGTGACTGCTTTTGCTGGGTGGGTGATTTCAAGAATTCAGCGCAAAATGCATACACTCTCCTCTTCACTGGACATTCACATTGTCCCCAAATGGCAAAGGGACACAAACTATTGATGCTTTCCCACCACTATATGCTGTGTTCATAAGGAGTCTGGCAAGGCAACTCCTTTTGTTGGCCAGGTGGCATTAGTTTGAGTAGCTGCTAATCTGAAGTTGTTTTTGTTTGTAAACTACATTTCCAGGATATGTAGGGAAATGCTACAAGGAAAAATGTAGGAAAGGTTTGATGGCCATCGATCAAGGATGACGTACTAGTACATTTCCTGAACTGGCAGAGAGTTGGACCTTTAAGATTCTTACCAAATCTGCTAGACTGTGTTAGTTGTTTTTGTTTTGTTTTTACAAATGAGAAATAGTTTCCCCCATTTGTTAGTGTAAGCTCTCCTAAAATTGTACATTGTGATTACTATACATATTTAAGCTAGACCCTAGCAGTTCATTTGTATAAATAAAATGTTAAAGAGAATTATTATTACAGTTGTTTATTAGTATAAATAAATGTTTAAGAATGTTGTTATTATTTTTTCAGTAATATATAATAACCTGCAATTATTATTATAATACATTGATAACAAAATATGTAATAAATAATTATAATTATAATAATTATTATTATTTCACCCTTCACCAAATCGTCCCAGGGTGGTTTATGCACAAGTACAAGAATGAAAAGAGTAACTACAGAAAACTAACAGCTAACACTGGGGCAAGACAGTTTGAGCATATAACGCCAATCCTGACTTGACTGCACTGGCTGCCTGTTAGTTTCTGGGTCAAATTCAAAGGGCTGGTTTTGACCTATGAAGCCTTAATTGGCTCAGGACCACAATACATCAACAACCATCTCTCCCCATATGAACCGACCATGACCCTGTGATCATCATCTGAGGCCCTTCAAAATGTGCCACCTCCATGAGAGATCCAGAGGGTGGCAACATGAGAATGGGGCTTTTCTGTGGTGGCTTCCTGAAGCTTGCCTGGCGCTTTCATTACATATATTTAGGTGCTAGGCAGAAACATTCCTCCTCTTCCAGGTCTTTGGCTTAATAATAATAATACCACACCCATCTGGCTGGATTTCCCCATCCACTCTGTGTGGCTTCCAACAGAATATTAAAAACGCGGTAAAACATCAAACATTAAAAACTTCCCTAAACGGGGAATTCCCTAAATTAAATAATCTATGGCCTTTTAAGCTGTGTGTGTGTGTGTGTGTGTGTGTTAGGGTTGCCATATTTTAAAAAGTAAAAACCAGGACATTCCAAAAGCTGTTAAGTTAAAAAAACAAAACAACGTGATTTTTCGATTTATTTGTGAAAGTTGCTATGCTATGTGATTTTCTCTTTTTGCACTTTGAACTGTCTTGTGGTCCTTGGATGAAGGGCGATATTATTATTATTAACAGTAATAAATAAGAAGAATAAACATGTTTGAAGATCAGGAGGAATATTTTAAATTTAGTGTGAAAAACAATTGGTAGGCAATGGAGCAGATGATAAAGAATGAAAATTCGCTAGATATGATGAGCAAAAATTTAATAAGGACCATGGAATTCACAGAAATTGAAGGTTTAATGTGTGTGAGAAAGCGGCATAGAATATTACAAAAGTTAAAATGGGAGACAATACTTCTAAGGCTATGGTCCAGGTTAACATCAACAGAGAGAGAGAGAAGGTAAAAAATAGAGACAAACCAAAGAGATTCCAAAAGAAGAAACACTTACTGGGATTTTTGCCTTTGAACAATGTTGTACCTTTCAATGTCCACATGGCAAAATGCATCTGATTTGCCCTCAGTATGCTAATTGAGAAGCTGCTGTTAATGATTCCGGTTGTGTAATTAGGACACATTTTTTTTAGCTCTACTGTTCCATGGGTCCTGAGGTGTAAGTATTGTGACATTCCCCATGTGAGGGGAAAGTGATGTGTGAATTGTCTCAAAATATGGTAGACTTGCATCTCTCTAAAAATATGTAGTAGATGTTGCTTTATTTTTTATGACCTCATATGAAGATACAGTAGCTAGCATTCATTCTTTAAAATGTTTTAAAGTCTCATTTCTAGAGTCAGTGGGATTGTTACTAAATAGTGCCTAAAATTTATGTTGCGCATTAATTCATGACTAGGTCTAAATTTTTAAATTATAGTTTGCTACTAAGACATATTTTTAATTTTTGTTTTCATGCTATTATTTATTGATAACTCAAGAGTATCTCAGTTGAATTACATTGCCACATTATGTCTTTAGAGGGGCATAAAGTCAGTACACATGCTTCAGTAATATCTGGTTGTTTTACCCTTATGTTTCCATTGGCAATTTGAAATTATGGCTTCAACTGCACTTTAAATATGTGATAATAGCATGTGTTTCTAATAAGGGCCAGCACCATTTTGTTGAGATAGTGTGAATGGTTGTCACTCATATATGACAAATGCACCTTCATCTGCTTCTTTGATGGCCCCCTAAAAACCATACCCTCAAATCAGACCGATGAAATTAGCTGCTGTGTAAATTGTGTGTCTGAGTGGTTCATTATCTAATCACCGTCAGAACCATAGTGATAAAGTAGTTTGAAGCAGAGAAGAGGTCTGCCAGATGATTTCAGGCCTCCCCCCTTTTTTGTAAATCCTGTTTCCCTTGGAAACCCATTAGTACTGTGTAGAACTTCAGAATTCTTTGACATAAACTTCATAGCAATTCTAATGTTTACTGTATCTAATGAGTGACTTAAAATGTTCCTATATTATTCTGAACCATTCATTTATTAAGTGCTATATAAAAAATACTTTTATTTGGCCACCTCTAATACATTGTAAGATGCAGTGACCCCGATACTGAAAATTACTGACAGATTTCTTGTTTGAAAAACACTTAAAATGCTTGTAATTAAGTTTTGCTCTGCCCTGGTGCCTATGACTGGTAGATTGTTTCTACTTTGTGTATCTTTCTTTCGTCGTCGTCCCCCCTCTACTCAGAATACTGCTTAACATCTGAATTTTGCTCCCCCTCAAAGGATCATTTGATGATGATGATATCACACACATTGAAGGAAGTGTTGCACCTGTTCGTGACATTGAAATAATACATGAAGAACTTAGGCTAAAAGATGAGGAAATGATCATGCCCATTATAGACAAACTAGAAAAAGTGGCTGTACGAGGAGGTGACAAGAAATTAAAACCCGAATATGTAAGTAAGAATATCTTCAATTTTTAAAAGATTTTTTTCCAGTGTAGGAATGATTTTACACAGGGATGGTGCTTATCAGCTGCAGACTTTATTGTACTGGGGAAAAGGTGCTAATCTCAGTTTTAAGACACCTCAACTTTCTACTTCAAAATTATTCCATCTAGTACGTACCATGTTGCATTGTGTTAGTTACCTCAATTCTAGTTGCATATATAAATGGTGACTGCGTAAAACAGTTCAGTAGTGAAGACCATTTGCTATGCCTATACATTTCCCCCCCAAGAAATTAAATTGCTTGGAAATGCTGTATCAGTGTTTTCATCCTCAGCTTTTGATTCTACTACTTAATGTATTTTAGGAGAAATCATAATTGTTCTGGTCTCTATACTTTCCACACTGTATTTTGCAAAAACACTCCTCATACGTTCTGCTCTTCTATTCATATTTCTTTAGTTATTTCTGTATCTAAAATTTGGTCTTTGTATGATATGTATTTGTATACCAATTCCAGAGTACACAATAGGTTGTATCAATAGAATTGCAAGCCCCCCTTCTTCTGCCTCCCAGAACGCCACTCCTGATGCTCAGGAGACCCACTGGAATGAAGGAGGGGCGACTGAAATTTTGTGCAGCTCTCATACTCATCCCACACATTTTAGAGGCTCCCCCAAGCTTTAAGAGTGGATTTTTTGGGAGTGCAGTAGGAAGAGGAAATTCATTTGTGTGAACATCTTCATGCTCTCATTTCCAATAATACAATCTAATATGGGTATTGCATCTGATTTCACATACTGTATAAGTTTCTCATTAAATATTTTAGAACAGCAAGTTGTATTCACTGTAGTTTAAGTATTGAAAGTGGTATAGTAACATGAACACTATTGAGCTATAGATTGATTTCCATGAAGGTGAAAGGGTGCCTTAATGCAGAATTCCTATATTAATCACATTGTTAATTGGAATAATATAAGTGATCATATATATCCAGGTAAGTAAGACTGTCAGCCTGGCTGTTCAATGTTAGAAATCTAGATGTAGTCACAATGTAAATTCAAATAAATTGCTATAAATAACATAATATCCTCTCTGTGTATTTAAAATTTTGCTCGCCACAGTTAAAAATCAAGAAAACCCTATTATTTTAGTGCTTCTGAAAGGACAGTGGGACAGGGTAGTTTCTAAAAAGAAGAAGAAAACCAATGCAGGTGGCAGAACATGGTAAAATGCTACAAACGAACAAGACAATGGTGTCTTTGAAGCGGTGAATTGATTCCAGGGCCTTCCCATGGCCATTGTTTCCAGACCACTTGGAAAATGTGAAGGAGGATTTGAAGACCTCTGGAGATAGAAGGACTCTTGTTTCTGCTCCGAAGAGGAGATTTGTGGTGGTAGTTGGTGACCCCACTACTGAGAGGGACCGAGACAGTAGTTTGTCCTCCTGACAAGTTGTGGGATGTTTGTGGTCTCCCAGGTGTGTGCATTCAAAATGTCTACAGTCTACTGACTGTTATCCCTTCCTGTGGATCCATGCGGGAACAAATACTCCTGCTAGGCACAGAGTTGAAAGGGTTACAAGCCCCTAGCTCTGGGTAGGAAGAGGAAGAATATAGGGGCATGGGTGGTGTTCTTGTCACTTTTCCTGTTGAAGGTTATGTCTAAGGAAGAGAGAATACTGGCTATGAATTTGGTATCATTGGGAAAGGTTTGAATTCTTAGAACATGGTTTATGCCAGCATGGGCAGACTGTGGTCCAGATTCAACCACCGTATATTTCGCTCCATAAGACGCACCAGACCATAAAACGCACCTAGTTTTTGGAGGAGGAAAACAAGAAAAAAAATATTCTGAATCTCAGAAGCCAGAACAACAAGAGGGGTCGCTGTGCAGCGAAAGCAGTGATCACTCTTGCTGTTCTGGCTTCTGGGATAGCTGCACAGCCTGCATTCGCTCCATAAGACGCACACACATTTCCCCTTACTTTTTAGGAGGGAAAAAGTGAGTCTTACAGAGCAAAAAATACGGTAACTCATTTGTTAGCGGAAGCCAGCTCAAGGAGTCCTGCTGGTGCAAGGGGCTTTCCCTGTTCTCTTCCTCCCTTCTGCAGCTGCTGTCCCATCTCCCAAATCTGTACTGGAGGGAGGGGAGAACCCCCAGCATAGCCCATAGAAGAGGGAAGATTGTTCCATTGGGAAGGCAGAAATGCTTGCACTTATGGAATGATCTCCTTGGTACTACTTTGAATTCTACCCTACTCTAAGAATTAAGGGTAGGATCGCTATGAGCACCTGATTACTCCAGAACAAAACTCCATTCTCTTCAACATTTGCAAGTTCCAGCAGCCTAATTTAGCACATGTCTGGGAAGCCTTTTAGTTGTTGCTGCTGTTAGACAATTGGGATTCAAAACTCTTGCCGATGAACTGCAAAATCACTTGGGCATCTACCAGTGGACCCTGATATACCTTCTGCCTGGTCTTTACTTTCAAGGGCAAGGACATTTGGCAGAAGTTGGATTTGGGCTTTTGGCAGAGGCACATGACAAAGGTTTGGAAGTACAGTATGTGTTTTGCAGGAGTCTCCCAAGCTTCTTCAGAAGGTATTTAAATGATTCCTGCCAAAAGGGGGGCAGCGGCAATGAGGTGCTAGACAGCATGACTCCATGTACTACCAGGAGTGTGAGTGAAAGTGGGGCGGTGATGAAAGTTCCCGCAGACATATAGGGAAAAAGTGCAAGGGAATTGTCAAGAGTATAGCACACAATTGTTGATGTCTGCATACTAACACACATATATGCACACATTTTCCTTTTTATAAAATTACTAGCCTGGTAGATTAAGGAAATTATGGGGGTGTAGTTTGATTTCGGCAAGACTTTGAAAAGGACCCCATGATAAATTTTTGACAAGCTGGTAGAATATGGGCTAGATGCTGCTACTGCTGTTTTTGGCCGGTTGATGGACTGTACGAGCAAATATCATGACTCCCTGTCACCCCGGAGAGATGTGATAGCACAGTTTTGTCCTGGGCCCATTGTTTAACATCCCTATAAGTGAATAGGATGGAGAAGGAGAGGGAATGCTCATCAGATCTGCAGATGATACCAAACTGGGTGAGTTATGAAGAACCTGTTGGATGAGGGCAGTGGCTTCAAAATCTTAAGTTCAGAAATGGCAATAAACAAATATTTAAAGTCCTGGGTAAACAGGAAAACATTCAAGGTGTGTGTTTGGAATGTGAAAGCTTGGTTACACTATTGTTGACATTTCATCTTCTTTTTGAAAAAGAGAGTAAAGAGAGTTGGCCATCCAATTCTCTTACTATTATTTTTGCTGTGGCATGTGATTTTATTTTCATGATGCTCCTGTAGTCTGGCTGCCCCCCCCCCAAAAGAGTACATGCACATTGTTAAGCATGGAGGAACAGACCTTTCTTCCTGCACATAATTACTTCGAAGTCTAAAGATGGGGGTGAAAACATAGTATCAAGTTATTTGTCTTTTAGTTTAAAGCAATGTTAAGCTAACTAGGATAATTAAGTATTTATAGAAAACACTGTTAGTTAACAAAGGCAGTAAGTTAGAATTTGTTTTTAAAAAGGAAATGAAGTTTAGTCCATGTCTCTTACCTCCTAAAGCCAGAAATGTAAAATTATCTGAAATGCTGTTGTTGGCTCCCAACTCACACCTTTATTCCATGAATATATGTACTAGAAATGGGTACCTTAACTTGCTTATCAATGTTATTGTTTGATTAGGTTGTCATTCATGATTTAAAAAATCTTACCCTCTCATTTTAGTGTTAAAATGTTACTGTTAAGCTATTAAATATGTCATGTGAGATGTCCACATTTCTCGTTTGTGTGACAGGCCTTTCTGCATGCTGCCTCCTTGCTCTGAACTAGGTCTCAATTCTAGGTGACAGAGTTGATTTACAAGCTTTGTTCAAGTTTCTGATCTGTTTTGGCTGCTTGTTCTCTTTTTAAGACTGTTTGGATTTTTGGAAATAAGTCACTGGTGAACGAATTCTCCTGTATTTGCAGTATAGCACAACAGGCCCTAGCTACCATAAGCTTTTACAAATGGAGGACCCCTGGGAGACAGATCTAGTTTTCCTCTGGTTTCCCCAAAAGCTACTGTCATCACTTTGCCAAACTTAAAAATAGTTGTTAGAATGTTGAAATCCAGGAGAGAGATTACACCCAAACTAGCTAACAAGCACTTTGCTTTTGCAGATGCCATTATGGAGCAATTTAGGATCCCACAGTCAGGAGCTCATATAAAAGCCTTGCTCCCCAAGCAATCATGCTAGCCTGATGGTAAAGGATTTCACAGGCTCTCCTGCATTGAGTGGATCTTGGCAGTTCTCAAGAAGGGCTTTGAAGTTTCCGCTGTGGCAGTTTTGCATATTTACCAATTCTCTGTTCACCAAGGTTGACTAGAGTGTACCTTAGTTTGGAGAGCAGAACCAGATGTGCCCCAATACCATGAGGCTTTCAGCCACATTTGTCCAGTTTTCTTTTGGCAGGCAGTAAGGTCCTTGGGGAGTTGCCTTTTGTCTGTCCTAGTCAAAGTAAGAAGAAAGTCTTCATCTTGACAAGGCAGAGCTAAGGGAGGTTCTGAAGGTCTGCAGAAAAGGCTCAGCACCCAGGTCTCTTCCCTGAGATGGGCAGTGTGTTGTGTTAAAGAATTCTTCATTTGTCCATGGACTTCCTGAGTAGGCTCTGAATTGGGTAATCAGACTCTGATCTGTTCTCCTTTTGAATTGACATTGCAGTTCGCAGGTTCTCATAGGTAGGTGCACTGTCAGCCAATAAGGAATTGTGTATCTTCGTCAAAATGAAGTATTGCTCAGGTCTTAGCCTTTGCATGTGCTAAAAGTCATGTTTTTCACAGATCTTGGAAATTTGATTTACCAAAATTCTGCACTCATGGCAATGGCATTAGCTTGATCATAGAATAATAGAGTTGGAAGATACCCTGAGGATCATCTAGTCCAACCCCTGCACTGCAGGAATATGCAGCTGTCCCATACGGGGATCAAACCTTCAACCTTGGCATTATCAGCACCATGCTCTTAACCAACTGAGCTATCCAGGCTGATGTGAGAAGTGCTCTTACCTTCTAGCCTGTGAGAACAGCTGACACCGGAGAAATGAAATATATTTTCTAGGGTTTCATGTTGTGGGCCAGAAAACGTCATGAGTCATGAAGGCTTAAGGAGGCCACCATTTCTGCTTGGAAAGCAGTGGATATCAGCTGCTGGTATTACTGCACACACATTGATACATAGCATTTGAGGGCAGGTTTCTCTTGGAGGAGTTCTATAGATATGCAATGTTAGCATCTCCTCACATATGTGGACATCCCATGGATGGAGGCTTCTGTTTCCAGAGTTGTGACCTTGCATAAAGCACAAACTTACTTGAGGGAGAATACTGGGTTTAATAAAAAAAATATTCCAGATACAGAGGGAGTCCTCTGTACATGGTGGAAGGTAATATGCTATTACTTAGCATATTTTTTTGTTCTTCTAGGTGTACCAAAGGTTGCTGGTCTCCCCATAATTTTGTGTTTTGCATGATCCACACTTATAGGCACCACACACAGTTTCTTGTTTTTACTGCTTTGGTTCTTTTCTCTTCTTAAATGTTACTGTTTTGGTATCTGGTTATGGTTATATTTGGTTTTCCAGTCTCTGTGATCCTCCCCCGCACTCCCACGCCAAGTAGTTTGCTTCCTGCTCTGCCAGTTCCGGTCAAGTAGAGAAACCATCCTGTTCATAAGATCAAATTTTGTTTGTCTCTTCCTAACAGAAGAAGATGCTATCCCAGTTTTGTTTTGAAATATTTATATCCCACCTTTCTGCTTGGCATCCAAAGCAGCTGAAAAGAATGAAATTACCCCAAGGCAGGTTATAAATAAAACAGTAAAGTAATTAAATTCAAAATACAACACACCAATTCACAAAATATGGATAAGTGATAAAATGAATAGTCACCAGCATATTAACTCAATCCCTACCAAAGGCCTGCAAAGAGGTGTGTTTTGAACTGCTAATATAATGGCATTCTCCTTACAAAACCCTCCCCTGGCATATAAGAAAAGGGGCATGCGAAGGGAAAGGCAGGGGTTGGAAACCTCCTTCTTGAGACTCAGCTCTATACCAACAAGATTTATATATTTTTTTAAAAAAACCATGTAGTAGCATTCAGGTATGTGAAGTGTTAGACACACAGGTTTAACCACCTGAAAACTAGGTTGGTAGAGACTGCCTTCCATATACTTAGGAGAATGAAAAACTAACTCCAAAGTTCCCTTTTCAACCACTATTCAAATATGGATAATAGTTCAGAAGTGCTCCCTCTGTACCTTCAAACTATTCAAATTACATTATACTTATTTTATTTACATTTCCAAAAGCCTGAACATTGCTTCGAAAATACAATTTCTGTTTCTTTGTTTGAGTCATTTATCTGGTCTCAAAAGCAGAAGGAATGTCATGCAGTACTTTACTTCAGTAGAATACCATAATCATTCATAATGGCCATGGTCCAGCAAGTCTCCAGAGCACATGCTGGTGACTTTATTTTTTTTTCCTCCAAAGGTTTTGAAGTACGGCTTTTCTGTTTGAGAGGGGGTGGTGGAGGATGGGGGGGGGGGAGAGCCTGCTAGAATGGAAAGAAGAGGAGAAATCCCAGCAGCTCTCACAACATAACTTGCTGGATCATAGACAGCATGTTGTAAGGTTTGCTGGTAACTTTCCCAACCTTTCCATTATTTTGGTTTAATTTGGTAGTTGTGTGCTCTTATTCCTATAAATCAAAATATTTGAAAACTCTTAAAACCACCAGATGGAACAAGAGGAAGACCAACTATAATTCACATTGCTCAGGATTATCTTTTAAACCTTATTTTCTGAGATTGGTGAATTTAAAAAAATCTCAGATGCATCTTTATTACATCTGTTTAGATTTAGATTTGGGACTGTACTAGTACATTAGCCACTTAAGGATAGGACTTCAAAATTCTCTCTGTTTATTTCATGTTCAGTGTTACTTTCATTGGAAAGCTTGATTTGAGTAGCACATAAATGCAGTACGTAAACTATAAAATGAAATATAAGACATTGTCGTGTATGTACTTAAATATCCATGTTCATGTCTGCTTCACCCTGGTCATTGAAAACCAGCCCAGAGAAGCCTTACAAACAGTTTTTAGCAGATATTTAGGCTCAGGTTTGTGACATATTTCCAGGGGAATTGAGTTTGACTGTTGAAAAGCATCTACAGAGTGGCTCTCTGCCTATTCTTTATTTTTAGTTTTGTGAGTAAAAGGGTATTTTTTCACTGATCTGAAATATTGTTAGAATTACCTTTAAACTAGAGCTAGTTTGCCAAATATGAGTTGAGGTACCTAAGTTTAAACTAGAGTAATATATTGTGTGCTGTTTTTCATATTAACAGTGAAGACGGTCAGTTGAACAATTGGGGCAGGAATGGAAAATCTACATTGACACTTTAACTGCTGTTTGCTTGTGCAGAGATAATTGAGGGATAAACCAAATATAAAAGACAGCTTTCTAGTCATTATCATGTAGAGTCTAGAACATGAACTGTAAAGTCCCAAAGATTTTACCATCTACATTACAAAATGGAATATATCAATGTTTTGGGGAAACTATAATACTAATGGCTTTTTAAAGATGAAATTTGTAACTAACATTATGTTCTAAATTGTAAAACTGCATAAAATTCCACCACTAGTAAAGAAGGATTACTTGAGGAATTCTTCTAATAATGAAGAGAAGTTTGGCTTTAGAAATGCATATTTTAAACTTAAGTGAAGTATTTATTTATTGAATAAAGCACAAAACATAGATAGGTCCCCAAGATAAGATAGTTCTACTATGTTGTTTTTTTTGAAATGTGTAATCTTGTTGCATGTCTCTACATAAGCTATTCTGGCCACTCATCATAGTAACCAGCTGGGCCATTTCACCTGCTGGAGCCATTAAAGAGGACTCTCTCCCCCTAGATTAATCCCCTCCGACATTAGTTTTTAGCTATGACAACTGGAGCAGGCATTCAGAACTTGCAGGTGGCCAGTGTGACGCACATAATTGCCTACAATTTTAGGCAATGAATAAAAATGGTCTACATTACTTGTCAAAGGTTGTATATGCAGTGCCAAGTGAGATCTATGGGAAGCCTTTTAGGGTTTAAAGAACATTTAATAGCAAGGCTGCACAGTGCTTTTTTAATCATAATGCATTTGTAATATAGCACTTTGATCTTCTCCTTGTAGGAAATGGTGTTACATTAGCCACTTTTAAAACATTTATGAGTGAAAATCAGTTATAGGAGAGTAAAAGTGATTATTCTTAGGCAGAACGTGTTATATTTCATTAAAAGTTTTCAGCTAGCCCCTTTCTTGTTAAAATCTGTGGGGAGCCCTGTTCCTGGAGGCTTACAAATCAAGATCTAAGGATTTAGAAGAGCTTTCCTCTTGTTTTTCCCCTGAAGCAGTTGCGAGATGGGAAACATTAGTACACTAAATACTGAAGCTGTGTGTTTGTAAATGTTTAACCTATTTATTGAGAAGGTAAACATGTGCTTTTGAGAAAATTCTGATGACTAGAAATCCGTTTAAAATTATCTAATTGAATATCATACCCGTGGTAAATTTCGTGAAATGCAATATTTAAAGCATGACCATAAATTATCTCTGGCAAAAATTGACACTAAAACGCACTACTTCTAGAAGAGCTTGGTTTGACCTTTCAGACCTAAGAGCCTTTTATTAACACCTGCCTGTAAGGCAAACCTTGCCACACGCAGCTTTCAGATTCAGAGCCACAAAACTGATGAGGAAAGGCTTGAAGGGTTCAGTTTGTGTCACTTGCTGTTTGCCGTTTCCATTTCACAGATGATTAATCTTTCTGTGAAGAAAGGCTAGAGAAACAAAGCACATTGGGCTCTTCCTGCAGTTACTCCTTCTGAATGCACACTAGCTTGCTAACTAAAAGGCCTTTAGATTTCCTGCAGGGAGAGATGTTCTGAAAGTGAATGCAGCTGGTTGGAGGTCACTAGTGCAAGGCTCTTGCCATTGTGTAATGGAAGCTTTGGCAGGTTTCATTTTTGGAGGAAAGGAGAAGGTGTTGACAAAAAAAATTAATGTAGAATATTGAGGCCTTTGGCCATTTGAATTAATATCTTGAATGGTAGATCATCAATAATCAGCTCAGTTTCTTTGGCTGTCAGTGTGTTTTTTTAAAACAACAACACACACATCACTTTTTGCACCTATTCCTTTGTCACAGCAGCATGTTTCTCTCATATATGGTTTCTTATAAGGGATACTTAATTACTACACCAATACGCAGTTTCAGGAAACAGATTTATTTATACATGCCATATTTCATCCAGCTTGGGGAGCAGAAAATATCATTCGTATTTCTCAATGAAGTCACTAAAAGGTTTATTTCCTGTTCATCTGCTCCTAGCCCTAACGTGACTCCTGTGTCCCTTTCTCATTCATTATATATGAAATTTCAGTTAGAAGGCACATAATATTTTGTTACCTAAAACGACTCCCTCATGAGAAATAACTGATAACAGTCTGGCATATAACTGAGTATATTCTACTTTAATGTCTTTTGTTTCTTCCTAATTCTGTGCAGGACATAATGTGCAAAATCAAAAGCTGGGTAATAGAAGAAAAAAAGCCTGTCCGTTTCTATCATGATTGGAATGACAAAGAGGTAGGCTTATGACTATTACCTCATCCACTGTCTAATGTCTTTCCTTTAAAAAACCAACAACAGCACAAAAGTATATCAGATCTTTGTGCAAACCTTTTGATTTACCTCCAGTAAATTAATGCCAACATTTGGAAATCATGTGCATTCTTTTTAACAATTTACTTTATACTTAAGATGCTAAACAGATTTATTTATTTATTTATTTATTTATTTATTTATTTATTTATTTATTTATTTATTTATAATCTAATTCACAACACTTATCTCTTGCTGTCTGTGTTAATGTAGCTTCTATTTTCTTACTTTTAGATTGAGGTGCTGAACAAACACTTGTTTTTAACTTCAAAACCAATGATCTACTTGGTTAACCTCTCTGAAAAAGACTATATTAGAAAGAAAAACAAATGGTGAGTTTGTTGCCTTTATCTTTTGTAGAAAATTCACGATGCTTCTGAAAGGCACCTTTGTCAAAATAATGGTTAGTCGTGATTTTTGTACTTGGAGTAAATCTAAATGTCTTAAAGCTAATATTGGCAATGTACCTATTACCTTGTCTTTGGAATGCAGTAAGAGTAATAAAAAAAAAACTCCCTTGAAGATCTATAAAACTAAAGTAGCAATTTTCTCTCCTACCTTTTAGTTTATTTTGCAATATTGAAGGAAAAATAACCATAAATAGTCTTGTAAGTTGTCTATAATATTTAACTTTAGAAAGAAGTCATTTTTCATGCCAACCTTCTATTTATTGGATGTTGAAGGGTAAAAACGATGCCATAATATGGTTGGTAATATGATAAAAAGGAGATAGAGTGCTCCATATATATGCATAGAATCATGACTCCCATATAGTTCAGGGTAAATTCAAGGTGTTTACAACTTTCTGCTTGCTGGGCCACTTCTTAAAATGCAGCAGATGTCATGCATATGGTTTGCTATATGCTGTTCAGAAACTTTTATTAATGTTGTCAGTATGAATGCATATATAATGGCTGAAGAATAAGATATCTGTCAAACAGGCAGTGACCGGGATGAAGATCCAACCCCAGAGTGTGAGGATACATTAGAAATGGAGAGACTTGAAAATCATGCTGCCTTTGCTTTTTGTGTAAAAGTTTCAGATGAGATAAAACAGTAGTTTTAGGGAAGAGGCGCTTAAACTGTTGCATTGGAAGGAAACATTAAATCACTCTTTTTAGTTTTGTTACACATTTTCATAGCATACAAAATTACAAAAATATCACTCTGAAACACATTTAAGATTTGCTTATTGCTTTGTCAAAGTATCCAGACCAGTGTATCAGAATTCGCTTAAAACATACCCTTTCGCTCTCCCTGTACTTCATTAAGTACTTAGATGCACATGGTTTCAATTTTCCATTAAAATTTCTCATTTCCATATGATATCAAAGAGTGAGAAGGCTTTAAACTGAAAAATAAACATTCATAGACTGGAAGCCCAAGCAATAATTAATGTCAGATGGTTAACTCCAATAAGTTATTAGAATCAATTCTGTAAAATAATTTCAGCTGAAAACTGCCCTGCTCCTAGTGTTGTTGTGCATTTATATTTCTTCTAAGGAGCATAATGCAACTTTAAAAATGGTCACTTTAAGGGCATTTTAAAACTTCTGGTTCAGAATCTTTCCCCATAATGAGTTACTGTTTTTGAAACTGCATCTAGCCTTCAAGAAACTTTGTGCAATCAAGCAACTGTGCCTTCAGTGTTGTGGTCTGGAAGGCATTTTCAAGTTTCACACAAATGTAATGCAGTAAATCTTAGCATTCTTTATTAAGGGCTCTTGTCGAGGTTTCTCAAGTGCCACAGTAAAGATAATAAGCATCAGAATTTATTTGAAAATGGGCAGGTTAGTTTCCCTACACTAAATGGATCATCACACCTACATTAGGGTGATCACAGGTAGAGCTCACTGCCTTTAATTGTATAGTAAATACCTTTTCTCAGACCTTAATGGTAGACAGTCTGTTAGGAGACGCCAGTCTGTGATTTAGCCGTCTCCAGAACCACAAATACCCCGCCTTTTTTGGTGAGACCAAGTTGTGATGATGGAATGGAAAACTTAGCATATATATTACAATTTTTAAATTTATAACTATTTTATTTATATTGTGAAATCATAGTAAAAAAATCTTACTGTGTTCATGCAGAACTGATGGTTGAGGTTTGGTTTAAAAAAAAATATCCTGGTTTTACGGATGTTAGTGTAATTGTAGCTGAAAGATCAAAGCCTGGGATAGCTGAGTGATGTTCCAGAAGAAAATTTACCACATAGCCATTTTCAGTACAGTTTCTGCCGCCTGCTGTTCCTATTTTCCCTCAGGCTAGCCATTGACAACCCCCTGTGCATCCCTGCTCGTAAAAAATGATTGAGGAAGTATTTGTCATGTATTTATGAGTGGGAAACATCGTCTGATATGGAATGGCATCTACTGAAGTCGGAATGATGACCAGTTTTTCCTTCCTTCTGGCAGAGTTGCTGATCTTTAAATCCACTCTTTTTATGTTGTATATATATTTTGCATTAAAGTGCAGAATAATTTTTTTTAATTATGAATTCTGTAATGATGAGCCCTTCATTGTTTTTTGGCAGTGTAAGCAGATGCAAACAATTAGAATATATTTTATTGGCAGATGTATTTTAATTTGCTTTTTGGTTCATGTTCTTAATCTGAACTACAGTTGGATTAGTTGCTCAGCTAGCACGACATATTTCTTGATTTAATTTGTGGTAATGCTGTAAGGAGGTTAATGTTAATTCAGGAAGGATGCAGCAGTAAATATTTTCATAGGGTTTTTTCTCTTTTTTTACAATGGAGTAGTATTTACATCAACATCAAAGAGTTGTTTTAAGGTTGTGGCAGAAGGAGAATATGGAAAGCTAAAGTGATCATTTTTTGTTTCCTGTATATCACCTTTTTTCAACAAATGAACATTTTTAATTGCTAGTAAAACACACTAACATTTAAATAACATGTCATTTTTCAATCTTAGGGGAGAAAACAGTGTGAATGATAGGACTTTTGTGTACTAGAGAAGGTAGCGTATTGACCTTTTGAAAGGTATAAAAACTGGAATGACTCCAAGGAACTACTTACTGGCATTAACAATGTTAAATTAGTCATTCAGTTGATTTATGATTAAGACCTTGTTCCTGAGGTGAAGCTGACATGGCAGCTGTGTTAGTTGCACTTTTATTATGATCAGATGACACTAATCATGATGTATATAGGAATCTACTTCAGCATTTTAAAATACAACTTACTATTCTTTAAACAAATAGTTAAATAATCAAAAGCCTTCACAGTAATTTAAGCTTTCTTTAGAGATTGTAGAAATGTAACTCTTTATCTAGTACTATTTCTATACTATATATTGGAAATAAAGTGTGATTTCTGCTAGTGAAATGCTGCCTTGTAAAACCTGAGCTATGAAACTGGATGGGGCACAAACATTCTTGTGGAATCAATTGGGGATTAAATTTATTGTAGCTTTGTATACCAGGGGGCCATTGCAGTGCAAGCTGACTGATCATCTTATACAAGAGTACATATGTCACCCATGTGTTCAGTATGTTGACACATTCTCCCTTTAGAACAATAAAGTGAATTGTATGTTATGTACACATCCCAATGCAGATTTTGGAAACACATCTTCTCTGTTAATGCTTGCATTTATTTGAGCTAACATTTGCAGATGGAAAGATAATTTTGTGTTCTACTTTAATATTATTTTTGAACCTCAGAAAGTTAAGTAAGTTAATAAGTTTGCGCATCCAAATCAAGCAACAATGGTTTGAAAGAATATTTGGGGAGGTGAGTGCTTTTTAGTCTGGGCTTTAGGCTCTTAACTCTTGGAAATCCCAACACACATGATGACCCTGACATTTCAGGAATATTTGTTGTGTACCAATCAACAGGATAAATTTGTGGTTATCTTTAGTTATATTTTTAATTCTAAAATGATGAAAACAATACCAGTTTCATGGTATAAGGATGAAAACAAAAATCCATGAAACTACTTCCTATGCTGTTGTAGTGTTGCTGAACACTGTAGAGTTATTGTTGTTACTTTTTCTTCCTCACTATTCACCACAAGGTCCCAGGTCGGTTTACAACAGTATTAAACATACAAGAAGAATAGATTGGGTCATATATAGGGTTACAAAAATGAGGGTAAAGAGCTGCATTGCCAGCATATGATGAAAGCTAGGATTGCCATATTTCAAGAGGTAAAAATCCAGACACAAAAAGTTGTCGAGCCATTGCCCAAGCCTGAACCAGAACCCGGGCCTCCCATGCCAGAGCCAGTGCCTGAATCAGAGCCCAGGTTGCTAAAGCCTGAACCAGAGCCACACAATCAAAATTTTAAAAACAACAAAATCCAGGACATTTGCTTTAAAATGTAAACTCCCCCCTGGATGGGCATGTAGGACCCCCCCCCAAAAAGAGGACACATTCGGGAATTCCCGGACATATGGCAACCCTATGAAAGCAGTGCAATTAAGGTGCCAGATGCAGACCTGTAGGGAGGCTGCAACAGAGAATTCCCTCTCCTGAGGTGCTGCTCCCCAAGTTTCTAAGGGTGGTGGATCTACCAAGAGGGTCCCTTGGCTAGCCATAACTTCTGAGAAGGTCTGTAGGCAAGGAGACAGTCTTTCAGATATTTGTAGCCTAAGTTGTTTAGGGCTTTAAACATTTAATGTCCTTGTCTGCTTGTGATGCATGTTTGTCTTCCATGAACACGGTCTTAACAGTGAGCCTGTAAGTGACTGTGGAGGCTGATTCTGGATCCCCACGTCCTTCCACAGTAAGGACATAGGTTTCCGGGCGGGAGTTGATCACAGTGAGGGTTTGCCAAGCGTGCCTTCCTCTTAGCTCGTTTCAGTTTTTGCCCTGAGTTTCTGCTTCTTCAAAGTTCGCGACACCTTTGGTAAAGGCTGTTCTCCTGTTGGAGCACTCACAGGCCAGCGTTTCCTGGTGAGTACATGATGCATGTATTCACCATGCCATTACTAGAAATGGAAGGCTTGGAGATGAAGAAATTTGCATCAAGGAAGGAAGATAATATGCATCAGGGGCTCGATACTAACGCATGAGCCATGCATTTCTTGCCATGCACCTGTCATAATGATGGAAATGATGGAACGCTCCTTGTTGAGCCTTGTGTGGTCATACACTATGTCTGCAAAAAAGTAATAATAAAAACATATTGAAGCACATACAACCAGTAAAATCAGACTCATCTGCTCCAGGTGGGTGTAGTAGACAAGAGGAGGCAAGGCATTTGGGACAGACAGCTTAGTGTGGGATTCAAGCTGAAGCAACTTCAGAACATTGCTTCAGCAATACATAACCCTGCATGGACTTAAATAAGGCAGCTCAGTCTGGG